TCACGATTTTGGCCGAAATTCCAAGAGTCCATGGGAACTAAGTTGAAGTTCAGCACTGCTTTTCATCCCCAGACAGATGGGCAATCCGAGAGGGTTATACAGATTTTGGAGGATATGTTGAGAGCTTGTGCATTGGAGTTCCAAGGAAGTTGGGACAACCATTTAGCACTTGTTGAGTTTGCCTATAACAACAGTTATCAGGCAAGTATCGGCATGCCTCCATACGAAGCATTGTATGGGAGGAAATGTCGTACACCGTTGTGTTGGGATGAGGTTGGCATGGCCAAGCTCGAGAGCACGGAATTGGTGGAGATCACCAAGTCAAAGGTGAAGATGATTCGAGAGAGGCTTAAGGCAGCCCAAGATAGACAGAAGAGCTATGCCGATAAACGCCGGAGAGCATTAGAATTCGAGGTGGGAGATGAGGTGTTCTTGAAAGTTTCACCTTGGAAAGGAATCATTCGGTTCCAAAGCCGAGGGAAACTTAACCCACGCTACATAGGGCCATTTGTGATTCTCGAAAGAATTGGGGCCGTAGCATACCGATTGCAGTTGACTCCAGAATTGGAAAAGATACATAACGTGTTCCATGTGTCTATGCTAAAGAAATATGTACCGGATCCGTCTCACGTGTTAAAGAAACCACCCGTGGAAATACGTGAAGACTTAAACTATGCCGTACGACCGGTGAGAATACTTGATAGGCAAGTAAAGAAACTAAGGAGCAAGAAAGTTCCAATGGTTAAGATCCTTTGGAAGAGTGACCGAGTTGAAGAAGAAACTTGGGAAACAGAAGCCTTGATGAAGGAGCAATATGCATTTCTGTTTGAATAAGCATTTGTGAATTTCGGGGACGAAATTCCCGTTAAGGGGGGGTGAACTTGTGACACCGCACCCGATTGTACTTGAAATTTAAAGAGGATATGAATTTGAATTTCCTAGCAAATAAAATTCATGTAATTGATTGGCATATTTAATTAATGCATGATTAATTAAATTATATATCGGGTCCATTATATGAGAATGGGCTACCAAGTATTTAGTTGGGGCATCATAATAAAATTATAGGAGTCCAATAAAACGCCAACCGAAGTTGATAAAAATATTTGGACAACCCGAGTGCTATGTTGGCCCAACCTGCCCAAAATAGCAGGAATAATTGGGAGGGACTTCCTACACCCACTTGGGGTATCCTACACACTAATTAGACTCAAATAATAAGGGAGGGGGACCACACATTTTGGGTTTGTGCGGATGATTGAAGGGAGAAGTCTCCTTTGAGACAAAAGCCCATGCCTATGTCTCTCACACAATCATTTTGTGTTGATTGAGAAGGCATCTTCCCTCATCTCCCTTGCACTCTCTCGGCCAAACAAAGGGTAAGAAGCTCAGGGAAAAAGCTCTCACAAACTCCATTGTTGGAGGAAGAAAACCCAAGAGGAAAGGAGGTGTGTTGGAGGTAAGAACTCAACAAACACTTTTAACTAGTATTATTGTTGTATGATTTTTTAGTAAATCATATGGTGGATCAAACATGAAGTTCTACACGTTTACAAGTGTAGAATATTGTTATAAAGTGGTGGTATTTAACTTAGGAGAGTTGGTGAATCGATAGGAGTCGAAATCGCCGGAAACCGCCACTTTAAGGGAGCTGTTCGTAGCTGCAGACCACGAAAGCCGCCCACCTTTCACCAAAGCCGCCCGGCTTTCGTCTGCTGTCCAGATTTTTCATCTCCAATCGGTTTAGAACGGGGATTGATCGGAGGGCTTAATAAAGGCAACTATTTCAGCACTTCATAAGGTGAGGATGGCTGACTATATTGCTTATAATCTTTGGGTTAATTTCATAAGATTACCTAAAGTAATTAAATGTGATTTTCATGGATTATTAATGCTTAATAATGCCTAAATGAAAACATCATTGTTTGTGAATAGAAGATGCATAACATACAAATTTATGAGAGATTGTGTATGATGATGCATAATAAATGTGGAGGTATAATGATTGTATAAACCATGAATTTTTGTGAAAAAAAATATACTTTTACTTCATGTATAGAAATCATGAATGGATAAAAGTGATATTTTTGATATTGAGATTAAATCGTATACGGATTCGAAAATCCATAGGAATGAGCCTTATAACTATGAGTTAAGGAGCTTGGCTGTTTAAAGATTTATGGATTAGTATTTAATTTACTAATCGGGAATGTTGTATAAAAAGTGATAGAACAAATCCTAAGGACTTGGATTGTGAAGGATGCACCTTAAGTAGTCTTATGAGATGCCTTAAGGTAGGAATGGGTAACCACTAAGTTACATTAGGAGTAGGCCTCATTGGCTACTCAAGATTGAGGAACTCTAGGCATAGAATTTGCTAGTGAGTTAGTATCGTGACTAGAGGAAGCCTCTAGCACGATGAAGAATGACTGGAGGAAGCCTCCAGCATTCGTGTAGGACGAACTAGTATCGTGACTAGAGGAAGCCTCTAGCACGATGAAGAATGACTGGAGGAAGCCTCCAGCATTCGTGTAGGATGACTAGAGGAAGCCTCTAGCATAATGTAATGTGACTGGAGGAAGCCTCCAGCACAAAGTATGTAAGGTGATTAGAGGAAGCCTCTAACACCGAATTTAGTGACTAGAGTAAGCCTCTAGCACGGTAAAACATGACTAGAGGAAGCCTCTAGCATGGTGAATTAATATAGATGGGCGTGGCTTGAAGTCACGGGGAAAGGGTTGAACGTTTTTAAAGTAAAACATGGGTCTTCGGGCCGACTACTTGACTTTATATATAAAGTAAGTATATTTTCAAAGAGGGTAACCACGGGTTATGACCTATATTATATTATCACCCTATGTGAGGGTCTTGGAAATTGAAACTTTGATTATACTTAGTATAGTTGTCATTGTACTTGTCAAATGCTTCCAAGTACTGACCTCCCCTTCACGGGGGAGGCCACCTCACAGTTTCAGGTAGGGCTTGAAGGTTGCTACCGCCGCCGTTGCTTTGGGGAGGTTCAAGGAAGGAGACGTGGTTCGTGCTTCTTCCGTTCCTGTTTTGAAAACATTTTCAAATAATGCTCATGGATACTATTTGAATATTTATTTGGGCTTGTATGCCCGTGTTTGCCACGTGTGGCTTGGATATTTGAATTAATGTTTCCGCTGCTTGATTAAATATTTTGCATTATGATTGTTTATGGATGTACTATTGTGAATGATATTCATGACGCCTAGTATAGTATGGATGAGTTGGACTGCGGTTGACTATTCGTACTGTACGGCGGGTTGTTGACGTGTCCGGTGGGTCCGGGGCGTGACATATATGATGCTTTAAAGTGGCGTCTGAGTCTAGCGTCGTCTAGGTGATGCCATTTTTCGCCTTTTAAAATATTATTTTTTATTAAAATATCAATGACTCGTTTAATAAAGTGATTACTCGCGGTTACACACGGTTTATAACCGTTACCCGTTGGGGCGGTTATGGTTTGGATAAAAATTACCCGTTGGGTAATGGGGCGGTTATGGGGCGGGGGAATTACCAAACGGGGCGGGTACGGTTATATGTAAAACTGTCTCCGATCTGCCCCGTTGCCATCCCTAGTTACGATGGGGCGGGGCGGGTCATGGGTCAACAAATTTGGACCTGTGCAGGTCACGGGGCGGGGCGGACCCGCCCCGCCAAGTCACGGGGCGGGTCCGGGTCTTGCAGTACCCGCCCCGACCCATTGCCATGCCTAGTCCGGCCGTCGCCAATTGGGGCGGTTCCCGGTTGAATTTTATGATGATGTTTTTTTAGAATCTTCTTAATTAAGTCTAGTTTACCTATACTAAATATCAGGAAAAAAACCAACCGGGAAGGCAGTCAAATGATTTTCTTCCGAAATGTACAGCGCTTTTAACTGCACAGTTATCTTCAAAAATTCATTTGACTGTCTTCCCGATTGAATTTTTAGCTGACATTTGGTATGAGTAAACTAGATTTAATGTCTTAATGAAGAAGATACTCAAAAATATTCATCAAAGAATTCCACCGAGAACTGCCCCAATTGCCGATGGCCGGACAGAGCCTCCTATATATGAGGTGAATTGCACTTTTTAAGTTAGTTCGAAAGCCTATTTGACCATTTAGCCAATCTCTTATTATGACATTCAAAAGCTTCGGTGCATCAAAGCTACGAACTAATGAAGTTATGTGGGTCGTTAGAGCATCTTCAAATGTTTATTTTCTCAATTGTTTACATATGAGAAAATTCTTAATTTATGCAGCATGGGAGAGACCTATAAAAATAAATTCTTGATGTTTATTTTCTCAATTTTTTTTGCATAGTTTTATATAATTTTGGTAATAATGTCAATCATAATATCTACATCTATCTAGACATTGTTCTTGATATTGTGAAGAAAAATTTATCAAAAACATATAAGACCATTCAAATAAGAAGAAAGATATTTTGCTTACTAATATTTGTGTGTGTATTTCTCTTATGTCAGATGTGCACTATACATATTATGGCATGTGAGCTGCTCTAAATTGAATTAAATATTTACATGTGTTAAATTTTGTTAACGTAATTGTCCCAATTGGAGTTGTATAAAACATAAGACCATAGGTAGACCATAGATAGTACTATCGTATAAAATATTGGGCTATTTTCCCCTCATTTGGTACTAAACTTTGTCAACTTTTCTTTTTTGTTTGTCCAATTTTTTTTTGGCACTTTCCTCTTAAACTAATGAATTTATGGCTTTTATCATTTCTCTATAATGTGAATAAAGCTCAATCACTTAAGTTTTACTATTCTAGTTTTACACCCAATATGAAGTTGGCAAGGTTGAGTGAGATAAATGTAATATCTATAATTATCGAAGTCCGGTACGGTCTGGTCGAGATCGGAAACTAGTTCAAGTTTAAATATCCTTAAAATGAAACCTCTAGTTTAACATTATATTATAGTGAAATCCGATTGTAGTATAATTGTTGTTTAACACTCATACCCATGATTACTTATAACTGGTGAGGAGTCTCTTTGAGCCATTTATATACAATAATGTTGTGCAGCCCGGTTTGAATTGAAAGGGCGTGCTGAATAATTTCCCGCACCCATATGTACACCCCTTAACTCCTCCTATAAAGCCCTTATATATGGAATTGAAGTCTTGAGAAAACTACAAAAAAAACATTAAGCATCAGAGGAGCTGAGGATAAAGCTAATACTTTGACAGGGACACATCTGCTCCAGGTGTTGTTGTGGTTATTTATTTATTTATTTATTTATTTATTTATTTATTTATTTATTTATTTATTTATTTATTTATTTATTTATTTATTTATTTATTTATTTATTTATTTATTTATTTATTTATTTATTTATTTATTTATTTATTTATTTATTTATTTATTTATTTATTTATTTATTTATTTATTTATTTATTCATCATCATCATCATCACTACTACTACTACAACACCAACAACAACGATGCTTAAGATAAAGTTCTACGATGGAATAAATATGAGCTTTTGTGATGGTTAAAATACCTGGTAATGGTTTCTATATATATTAACAGCAGAAGCATGAGCTAGAATGAGGTTGTGGCCTACAATAAATGGTTCTTTGCCACTATTTCCTTGAGTACAATTCGCGTGTGATTTTGAGCATCGATTGGGAGGCCAAAACCCGTAGAGATAAGCCATAGTTGCGAATATGTTTGGTTCATTGAATGTAATCCAATACCTAACACGATCACCAAGATTCTTGAAACAGACCTCTGCAAGATGTGCATATTCATCCCTGAAATTGAAAAAATATTTTTTTTTTGTTTTGTTTAAAGCCCATTCAAAAAATCTCAAGAAATCCGAAGATAGTCTTGAGAAAGCATGTCTTGTGTTGTCGATAAATAATAAGACCCTACTACGGAGTATGTTTCTTTCAAAAACACAAAATATTGAAGGAAATTCTTAGCAAATGAAAAGTGGTTCTCGACAATTCAAGAAAGAAAGAAAAATATAGGAAAATGAGGGTAATGATGAAGTCACACTGTTGATAATTGGATTATTGATGAGGCGGGTACATATGACACAATTGCTTTATGATACTCAAAATTCGATTGAAGTTCAATGAAATTTGAACTCGAACATGGCTCGAGCAAAACATCTTTTAGCTTCTTAGACCATTTGGAGTGGTGCAAGAGTCCAAATGTTAAAAATGGACTCCGTCAATATAAAAAAAGTGTTTTGACTCCTATTCTCTGCATTCCAGCACCGTCAATAAAATACATTCTGCACATTTTTTTACATATCAATTTAGTAAAACATTAATTAAATTATTATAAGTAATGTTTTCCTTTTAATTTTTTCTCTGATTAATCTTAAAATAAAAAAGACACATTTCGATGTAAAAAAAAATAAATTTCATTATTTTTTTTACGGTCAAACAGTGCCAAGATCATCACAGCCGTTGGATCTATCAAAAGTTTTTAGGAAAAAAAAACAGCCGTCGATAGTGCATGCTGACATCATGCTGACATCATCATGATGTCAGCGCTGGAAATTAATTCGAAGAGCAGCCCCTACTCCCCGCCTGCGCACAGCAGGTATGCCCCACTTCCCTTTTTCTTTTCTTTTCCTTTTTCTTTTTGGCTGTTCAAAATTCCTCCAAATTTAACCCCTTCCCTCCCCAAACCCATTTTTAATACCCTCTACCCTCCACCAATGTATGAAATTAGGAGTCCAAAAATGCCATTTTAACATTTTGGACTCCTAATACCTCACCACTCCATTTGGTCTTACTCGCGAGCCGTGTGAGTCAAAACATATACTCCTATGAACGAATGAGTGATTGAGTGTTAGTAAGTAAGTAGGTTAGCCGTGTGAGTCAAAACATAAATAAGTAGGTTGGCACTGCCTTCTCACTACTTCTGCGGCTCTGCTACACCCACCCGACACCTGTGCGGCAACTCCATGCCGCCAGCGGACCCTGTGGCCGCCCCGCACAAGCCTACGTATGCAACGGCGGTAAGGGGATCCCATCCCCGGCCAAGCCAACCTGGGATTCTCAGCCAAATCAACAGGAACCTTCAACGGATTCCCGACAATCACTTTCTCTGAAGATAATATGCATGGTTTTTCAAAACATTTCCGATTCTCCCTTGTTGGTACTTTTCCCTCTGGACGTCCCCCTCTTCCAGCGATTCCCAAGGCATTCGCAGCGTTAGGGTTCTCCCAATCCTACTCTGTCGGTCTCCTACACTCGAATATCAATTTGATTAATTTTAAATCTAATATCGATTTTCACAGATTTTGGGGAAAATATTCCTGGGACTTTTTTTAAATCTTGTTCAATGTTACCCGATAGACACCCCCCTTCTCCATAGACTAAGACTCTCCCTTTGCACTTGTCTGGGTTGCCCTAGAAGGGCTTCCAATTCACCTTCATGATCTATTGCTACCCTCCTGGAAAACCAATTAGAATAGACACCCCCACGACTAACTTCTCAAGACCCTCTACTGCTAGGATATGCATAGAAATTTATATTTCAAAAGACCCCCCCCCCCCCCCCCCCCCCCAATTTGGATTGGAAATGGAGCAAATGGTTTCTATCAAACCATTCAGTATGATAAGATACCTAAATTCTGCCATTCTTGCTCCCAGATTGGCCACTCACTCACAGAATGTCCCCGGACAATTCAAACCTTGGCCCCTAAGGCAGTTTTAGTCACTGATGATGCTCCAGTTTATGTTTCTACTACTAAGCCCATTATTGACCATATTGTTAGTGGAGCATGTGATGAAACACTTGTTACCCCCGATACTGATTTTGTTGGTCGAGTTGATAAGATTAACAACTCTGGTTTGGTTGTTACCAATTATGCTGCTGCTTTTGCTGAGGACAATTCTACCTCAGTTGTTTGTGTTGCTACTGATGATGTTTCAAATGATGTTTCCCCTATTACTGATTTACTGCTGATGAAATAATTGGTGCCCCCTTGGTTTGTACCCCCTTGGTAATCTGTATTGAAAATACAGAACTCCCAGGTGCAACTCATGATGCTTTTTCCAGAAATGCTAGTAATATTGATACCTCTGTTGATGCCCGAATTAGGCTCTGTTTGCAACCACTTGTGCTTAAAGAAAAGCACTTTTTGAGAAAAAGTTGTTAGTAGTAAAAGTTGGTAGTATTTGGTAAAATAAGTGCTTTTTGTGTAATAGAAAAAGTTAAAAGTAGATTCTACACGAAAACCGAGGAAGTAAAAGTTGATAGTGTTTGGTAAAATAAGTACTTTTTTCTTAAAGAAAAGCCATAATCACTTTTTTTAATTGATTGCAAACAAGCCCTTATTCCCCCTCTGATGCTAATGATACTGTTGCGTTTGCATCCCCGGTTGCCCCAATTAGTGCCCCTCTTGATATTGTTGCCTCTGCAACCTCTTATGTTGCTTATGATACTCTGCCCCCTATGTTGGTAATGATATTGCTGTGTTTGCAGCCCCCTATGTTGCTTCTGATACAGATTATGCTAAAGATTTGGGTTCGATGATTGCTGTTACTGATGAAAACCCGAAAAACTCTGGTTCTGATGTTATTGTAGTTTGGGATGACCCCTCAGTGGCTACTTGTAATAAGGCAGTAACCGCAGGGGATGCTCATCCCCTATTGATGGTTCCCGCTGATATGACTGTTGGTGAGAGTATATTGATGCCCACCTATAATAAAAGTGTGGTTTTGCCCGAAAATGATGATACTCTATCTGATCCACAACATGATAATAATACATTTGCCCCGAAATTATCCAATGATGATATTCTATCTGAGGAAAAAATTGTTTTTTTACAAACTATTTCAGGTCATCATCAAAATGGAGAGAAATATTTGGAAGGCTTTACGGGAAGAGTCTAATCACTTCTCTTATAAATAGGAGTAATGAGCATTTACACACACCAATGGACTATCCAAATAGTTAAATGAAGAGTAATAGTGAAAATTAAATATTTATGACATGTTAACTTCATGAGCTAGGGGTGAGGTAAGGGTGGGATAGGTGGTGAAAGTTAGGGGTAGGTATGGGTGGTGGGTAGAGTGTAGGGGATGGAGGGCAGTGGCAAAGCGTAGGACTAGGGTGGAGTGGAGGAAGTATATAAGGGTGGGGTGGGGTGGGGTGAGGATAGACGGTGGGTGGTTAGGTAAGGATGGGGTAGTTATGGGATAGTGTAGGAATAGTCTGTTATCTTCCATTATGAGATGCGAGGAATATATTTATCAGTATTGAAAAGTTTAACATGTTGCTTAGTAAATTAAAATATGGAAGCCTGGAACTCTGGAAGGCGAGGTGCAAACAACACTTTAAAACATAAAAACATTTATTAAACATACATTATCTAAAACAGTTATTACTTCACTCGTGTTAATAATCTAATGGTGAAATTAACTGTGAAATAAACATATTATTATTCTTAAATTCATAAAAAAGGATTGAGACTCTAATTTTAGGAAACCGGGATGAAAATATAAAGTTGACCATAATGTGTACATAATTCATATTTTAGTCCTATTGCAATAATTTCTTCTATAAGTAATATTCAATTTAAAATTTTGAAAATAGATTAAGCACAAATTGTCCTATCGCCAAAGGATAGCAACTTACTGCATCTCGGGGCTTAGCCAACCTTGATATTTGTCCTCTAATTCTTGAGGGTGATCAAAATGTGTTATTGTTACAAATGGTTCAATACCTGTTGCGTATATGAAAATGTTAATTCTTCAATAAATAAAATAATAAATAGTTCTCATAAGGATTGCCGTAAATAATAGGGACACAAACCTTTATGTAGGAGAGCATCGATGAGATTTTTGTAATAGATGATTCCTTTCCAATTAATGTTTCCGTGTTTTCCATCTATATTATTAAAATAGTGATTATGACTTATGTTAAACTTCTTTTTACTTTTACATACTATTAAAAAGATAAGGTATTTATAGTTCTAACTTGGTAAAACACGAGACCATGAAATTGAAATCTTATGAGCATTGACCCCAAGAGATTCCATCAACTCTACATCTTCCTGTTCTCAACATGTAAACAATTTATGATTATTTCATATGTGATACACTTCTCATAATTAAACTATGTAAGTTGGTAATGTTAGAGTTTTAAAGATGTATTGTCTTATTTCGTTCATGTTATTCACTTGTTCATATTGCTAAGATCGTCTGAAATCACCTACACTTAAAAAATGAGGTAATGAAATGGGAATTCGACTGCCTTTGGTTTTTTCCAATTCAAATAAATAAGTGATTTCTGTCATTGTTGCTTGGATTTTATTGTCATTGTATGAAATCAAATTTCGATGATTTGATTTAAATTCAATTTTATCCAACCCAAAAGTCACAAAGGTTACTTAGATGTTGTTGATTTATTACAAGTTAATTATATGTCTTACTATCATAAGGGCATCTCGAATGCTAAGGTGAATTGTGGCTCGACCTCAGCAAATGCACTTCTTCAATGAAGATGTCTTCTACAATTGAAAACAAAAATAGATACAATGCATACAAGTGATGTGGAAAATAATAAAATGGAAGATGTCTAGCACAAGGTCTATCTGTTGGACCTTCCGTGCCACCTTCTCACAGAAATAAAGAAATGATAGGCCTATATGCAAGGGCAATCACCCGTATGTTTTTTTCTTTTTATTTTGTTTTTTATTTTTATTTTGTCTTCTTATTACACACTCGAGGTAGGTGTAAATGGAGCCTTTTTCGTGATATTGGACCTATTGTTTAATAGACCTTATTTAAACCTTTTCAACTTCACTTGAAATGTACTAAAAGCACTGGACGCTCGAATAAAAACATAAAAATCGACACATGATAACGATGGTATTGATCAACAGCGACGTCTCCAGTGCTTCCATCTGAAATGCTTCCTGAAACAGTTATGGCAAATTACTAAAAGTTCCCTTTTATTTTAGAAAACTAGAAGGCAAAATATATGTTTACTAATTGAAAGAATGGCAAAAACATCACCTATAGACTTTGATTAGATAAAAATACGACCATTTTTCCTTTGGGCAAAAAAGTGACCGAAATAAACAGCCCGGCCCGTCAACTACAAATTTCCTTAGCTTCTTCGCACAGCAAGCAACACCGAACGTATCTGGAGAGTCTGGAGGTACAACGCGAACGTGTCTGGAGGCTGGAGAGCACAACGATGGCCATTGATGGATAGTCTACCCGGGGGATATCTTATCCGAAGGGTTATTGCGGGAATAACTAGAGAGAAGTCAGAGTAAATAGGAGGAGAGAGTCGATTTTATTAAATGAACTCAGCGTGTCTTACAAGGAGAATAAGGGCTGCTATTTATAGCAGCAATAAATGCGATGAGAGTACATGTGTCAGTGATCCAACGGCCGAAGGGTCACATCAGCCGGGTGGCACCGGCAGTGGTACGTTTACCGCATTGAATGCGGTTGGCGGATGTGACGTGGTATTAAATGCGGTGGTTGGCTGTCTCCAAAAGGAATCTTCGATGATTGAGCATGTTTAGCCGAAGGCTCCTTGTGTAGCCGAGAGCTCCATGTGACAAGGACCCCCGTGTAGCCGAAGGCCTCGTGTGACCGAGGGCTTGGTTCAGCCGAAGGCTTCTCTGATGCCGAGGGCTTGATAGCGCCGAGGGCTCATGGTTGCCGAGGGCAACCATTCTACGCCGTTTTCTCCCTGAGGCTTTCCATGTTAAAAGCTGACTGCCGCGTGTAGTTCGGAGCCTTCGGTCAAGGAGGCCGAGGGCACCCCAGTGTGCGTTATGGACGCCTTTGAAGCTTGGGCCGTTGTATTTGGGCCTGAGGTGCTCCCTGGGCTCAATGGGCTTATGTAGGAGAAGTAGGAGTCTATGGGACGGGGGTTCCTGGGCCATATACTCCATCACGAGTCCCTCACTCTTTTTGCCGAAAGGTACTTGAGGGAAAAGGAGTAGATGTGTTGATTCTTCTGGAGGCTTCAGCATTTAGTTGGGCGCCTTTGCTTGAGAACTTGCCTTCTGATGATTGCCGAGGGCCTCCCTCAGTCCCTCACATGTCGAGGGTTTTTTGAGGGAAGTATAACACCTGTATAACTGCCGAAGGCTTTCCTCAGTCCCTCACATGTCGAGGGTTTTCTGAGGAAAGCACAGATGTATTGCCTGCATGTGTTGTGATGAGGGCTGCTTCATTTCCGCAAGTGACTCGGGGAAACATTTTGATACTCTGCCTCTGCCGAAGGGGGTGTTGAAGTATGTATCCGAAAGTTTCTTCTTTGATGTTCACCCGGAGGCTGCATGCGTCAATTGTAAACCGTTGCATGAGGAACTTTTGTCCTGTATGATTACCGAGGGGTGTATCCCAGTCCCCCACTCCTTTAGGCCGAAGGCTAATTCGGGCTGAAGGAGTTATGATGTGTTGATGCAACCCCAAGGGGTGACGATATTGACAAGCCGGGGGCTTACGTTGCCGCAGGTTCGAATGCGTTTGGTGGAGTTCGTTGTCTGAAGGCTGTGGAGAGTCATAGCCGGAGGCTATCATCCGAGTGCCACCTAATGTTCGGGGAATATAGTCGTTGCAATAGAGCCGTTGGAAGAGGCTTCCACGTGTCGCTTTGTCGTTGGATGATGGGGGGCGGGTGCCACCCATTGGTTGAACCGGCGGCCCGTAATGATGGCCTTTTTAAAACCGAGGCCCAGTTCTCGAGGCTGAAAGCCTATAAATACCCCAAGCCCGAATTCATATCCCTTGTGCGTTTTAGAATTGAAGCGAAGCTCTGCCAAAATTTCTAGAGAGAGAAAGCATTTTCGTCGATCAAACTTAAGTTTTTCTTCCGCCCCAAGGTCAGTTCTTCACCTGTTCTTGAGTTCCTTAGTAGATTTTGCTCTTTCCTTCTTTGATTAAGTGTTAAGGCAACCTTTAGAGCCCTCAGTTAGGACCTCTTCTTTGCCCATCACTATGTCTTCTGCGAGCGATTCCCAAAACCTCTCGAGGGAGCCCTCGGTTGTAGCGGAGAGCATCCCCGTCCAATAATGATCTTGCCGTGGCTGAGGAGGTGCAAAGTAACCTTCGGGTTGAGCTGGAGGCTGAAGAATTTGAACAAGTTGCCGCTGATGAAGAAATGGCCCTCGCAATCCAAGTAGCTGAGGAAGAAGAAGAGAGGGAGCGACAGGAGGTGACGGTCGCTGTCTTTCCCCTTCGTGGTTCCAGGGAGACGAGTACCTCCCGGCCCCTAGACCCGGAGCCTCTGAGCGTAGCTCCCGGCAAAAAGAGGAAGAAGATAAAAGCCCTTCAGAAGAAGAAGCAACCCATAGCGGATTGTGGGAAACCCGTGGGCATACCCGAGGGGCACTCATGGTTGAACACTGCCGCCCTTGTGTTGAAATCGAGGGCTGATCGAGCGGAATGCTATGTCACCCAGCTGCACGTGGGGCCTTCGGCAATGGTGATTGAACCGGGGCCTAATGATCTCTTGTCCCAGGCTCCCGAAGGGTGCTTCGCGGTACATGTGCTATCAGTCGCTATGGGCCTCCGGTTTCCGCTGCATCCCTTCCTCCTCGAGTATTTGAGGTATGTGGGTTTAGCCCCCTGCCAGCTAACCCCAAACAGCCACTCCTACATTACCGGCTTCCTTCAGCTCTGCCGGTCCCGGGGTGTAACGGCGACCCTCGATCGCTTTTTTCAGAGCTTCAACCTGTGCCGAGGGGGCCATACCAATTCCGAGGGGTTTGCAAACCTGCAGCAGCTTACCCCCTGGAGGCTTTTTGATGATGTATCTTCGTCCCACAAAGGATGGAAGGACCGCTTCTGCTATATCAAGATGGCAGAAAATCCGTTCCCGGGGGAATTGCGCAATCACTTTAGGAGGCACCCGAAGGTGGGAAATGCCGCACTTCAGAAGGACGGGAAGAAGATTGCCGCTTTGCCACCGGGGGCCACAAAGCATGTGACCGTTAAGGACTCCAGTCTCCCAGAAGACTTGCTGGCCTTAGGCTTCCGTCGGTACCGTTTTCTTGGCGCAAAGGATGAACAATACCGAGTCCTTGAGAGAGCCTTCGGTAACATTGGAGGTAGCTTTTGAAGGGCCTACTTCGTTGTACTTAGGATTTATTGCTTTCTTCATTCCCGTAGTCCTTTCCATCGACCTAATCATTGATGTTGTTTTGCAGGTGTCAGTATGGACGTTTCTAACTTCGCCGCCCTCAAGAAAAAACTGGCCAAGGAGCCAAAGAAGAAGAAGGAGACGGGGGTTCAGAAACCCGTCCATGAATTCTTCAAGAACGATGGGGCGTCTCAGGTCTCGGAGGGCGAGGGACCCTCCAAAGCTGTTGATACCGGTGCTGGTGCCGGGGGCTCCAAGGGGGAGGAGCTCAAGAGAAAGAATTCCGGGAAGGGTGTCGCTCCCCCGGAGAATAAGAAGCAGAAGAAGGGGGCCTCCGGGAGGAAGGATGCCCCCATTGTGATAGTCGAGGAGCAGCCCTCCTTGAATCCTTCTGCGACTACCCCTCCTCGCTCTCCTCCATCCCCCATAGATGAGGGAGTCCGCCCGGCGGAGATCATCCAGTTCCCCGTCAAGTCGGGGACTTCAGTTATGCACGACACCCTTCACCCCGTTGGCTTCATGAGGGGGGTGATGGCGCCGAAGGATAGGTCAGTGCTGGCCCGCCTCGGGGATGACATCCTTGATTATAAAGTCGCCAGCTACAGCACCATGGTGAGCCGCGTTCCCCCTTCTCTTGCCTTCATTTCTCCTTTTTGATAATAGCCCCTGATGGCTCATTTTGATGTTATATTTTTGTCTATGTGCGTTCACTTGCAGGCTGCCCTGGCTGCTTCCGAGCAGGCCCGAAGGGTCGAGCAGCTGAGGATCGCCAAGTGCCAGGCGGACGAGGCTCTGAAGAAAGCCGACGAGGAGAGGGTTGCCCTTCGGCAGAGGATTGCTGATGCGGAGACAGACCTTCGGCTGGAGAGGGAGACAGTGGAGCAGAGGCTGAAAGACGCCGAAGCTAAGGGGAAGGCTACTGCTGAGGAAGCCGCCGCTGTTGCTGCCAAGACTGCTGCCGAGGCCGCCGAGATTGAGAGGACCGAGGCGGTGGCGGATGCTAGGAAGAAAGCAGTTGAAGCTTTCCTTGCTGAGGGCTGGACGGCGGCGGACCACGAGGGGTGGGTGACCTCCGTGGTGGAGCAGAGGGTGGACTCATGGGTGAGAGGCCCCGGTGCTGAATGGCTTGCCCGAAAGGGTAAAGACTACTATGATGGTGGCGAATTCTTCACCCAGAAGATGATCTATCGAAGGCTGGCCCGGCATTTAAAAATTGATCCGAAGGAATTTGATCCGGCAGCTTATGGCCTCCCCCCCTTGCAGCCAGATGTCCGGGTCCCTCTGCCCGAAGGTGAAGAGAGGCCGGATCTCGAGGATTCCGAGCTTATGGGCGAGGGTGACGACGAAGAAGCCGAAGATGATGCGGCCTCAAAGCCGAGGGAAGATGCTGCCCAAAGTGTACAAACTTAGAATTTTTCCCAAGTGTAAACATGTGTAATAGCTTGTGGGCCTCGGCCCTGATTGTAAACTAAACACCTTCTGTATTTTGGAATATTTCTTCTGATGAATGAATGTCTTTAGGTTCTCCATATTGATGTCTATGTGGTGGATGCCTTCGCTTTCTTTTGTTTTCATGCTTTCCTTTCTTTGAATGAATGTCTGCTTTCCCGGAGGCCCCAAGTTTGTGGACTTAGAAAATTTTTCTAAGTGTAACTCCTTGCTAGTCCCCGGTTGTAGTGTAAGATCGCCGGGGGGTCGTTGTTTGTGGATTTAGAACATGTTACAAGCACAACCTGATCAGAATCCTTCGGGTGTAGAGTAGAATCACCGGGGGGCTTGTGATTGTGGACTTAGAAAATTTTCTAAGTGAAAACCCTATCATGAGCCCCCAGTTG